AAAAAAAAAAAAAAAAAAAAAAAAGGAAAAAAAGAAACCCTGAACAGCTGGGAACGGTTATCTTGCAAGCCCTAGCTCATCCTGATAAGGTATGTCGCTTGTCCACCCCAACACTGAGCACTCCGTATGGCAGCGGCACTCAGCATCTCTGGAAAGTCTTGGGATGATGTTTCTATCTATAGTCCAAAAAGGTCTTTTAGTCTAAGATTTCTCTGTTTTGGAATTAAAGGCAATCAGTTTTATACACTCTCCTGGAGGGGGAGGGGGGGTTTAAAATAGTCTATTAAATACTTGGCACGGAGAGACTTTAAGTTATGTGTCAGTAGAGGGGGGGAGGGAGGTTGTGTTGCCAATTGTGTTTCCTCACGGAGTGTCTCGTTTAATTCTGGGGCAGCCCTCGCCAGGAGTCACCTCTGCCCCGGAGGGGGATGCGATGCTCGCTCCAGCTGTTAGCAACAGCTCTTGCAAAACCGCGAGATCAAACCAAACAATACGATTTTCACGGGAGGGAATCGCCCTCCTGGGCTACTCGAGGCCACAGTTTAACCATGGTCCAGCGGCCGAATTTGGCTGCGCGAGACTTGGGCTCTCCCTGCCGTGCGCCGCGTCCCCGCGGGTGCGAGGCGGCCGCGCAGCCCCCGCGCAGCCCCCGCGCCGGGGCCGCCCGTCTCGGCACCCCCATCGCGGCCGGCCCGGGGCTGCAGGCTGGAGATGGGACCCGCGCTCGGCTGCAGATATCCAAGCAAAGCGGGGAGACACCCGAGTCTTTGGGGTCGGCTCGCCCCCTCCTCGCTCCGCGGAGCCCCGGGGGTCGCTGCCCGGCTGCCTGCGCGGCTGCGGGGGTCCCGAGCGGTCGGGGGGCCGCGCTCCGCAAGGCCAGGCCGGGGTGACCCGGAGGAGCGCGGATCCTCCCGCGCACCGACCCGCGCGCAAAGCGGCGCGGCCGGCCAGGGGCAGGAGGAGGAGGAAGGAGAGGGGCTGCGGAGGGAAGTTGCTTTATGCCCCGCAGCTTCTCCCTAGGGCCGTGGAGGGCGGGCGGCTCCATCTCTCCCCTTGCCTTCGAGAAAGGATTATTTATTTATTTATTTATTTATTTATTTATTTATTTATTTATTTATTTATTTATTTATTTATTTTATCCCTTGTGCCCCCGGCAGCTCTTGACACACCGGTCACGAGCGGGGAGCTATCAAAGTAAACAGCCGGGGAAGGCGCTAGGCGAGGGGCAGCGTCCCGCACGCCGTGCTGCGGGGCTGGTGCCGCCGCCACCGCCGCTGCGCTGTCCCCGGCGGGGACGGAGCTGTSCCCGGGCCGGGCCGAGCCGAGCACAAGCGCCGGGGTCGTGTCCCCCCGCCGAGGCTCCGCTCATGTCCCCCTCCCCGCTGAGCTTTGCACCTTGGCGGAGCCCTCTGAGCACTCGCGGGTCGGAGTCCCACACGCTCGAGCCGCTTGTAGTGGTGGCGGATTGCTCTTTTTTAATGATTTTTTAAAAATCTTTATTATAATCAGATAAAATTAAGACACTGAAACGGCACCGCGTTGCAAAAAGGCGGGCRGCCTCAACCGCGCTCCCCGCACAGCGAGTCTGCCCCGCCGCCGACACAGTTCTGCGGTGGGAATCCGGAGGGCTTTTCTAAGGCCTGTTTTGCTATTTTGTTGTTGTTGTTGTCGTTCAATTAGCCCTAGTGATTTATTCAATGCATGCATGCGGGGACATTAATATGCGGTGGCAGTTCCCACAAACAATATTCCTCTCAGGCTTTCTGCAGCCCTAGCATCTACTGGCGAGGGGGGAGGCCGTAGAGGGACAACCAGGCGCTCTCAGCCTCTTCCCCTGCCCACTCCTGTCCCCCTTCGCGGGGCAGGAGGGGCCGCAGGGTACGAGGTCGCTCTCCGACCCCTGTCCCGGGGGGCTGGGACCTGCCTGCGGCTCCTGCTCCCCTCTCCCACCGCAGCCACCGGCCCAGCTGTCTGCGACAACCCAGGGATGCGGCTGGGATTCAAGAGGAGGTTTTGTTTTTAAGTTACTGTATTTGCTTTTTTTTTTCTTTTTTTTTTTTCTCCCTTTSCCCACACTCTGCTCTGAACCAGTTCGTCCTCCAATCTTGCCTATGTTGTCCCTGCAAAGGCAGTTCGCCGCTGTCGGGAAGAAAAGGGCAGAGAGAGGTTATTATTTAGGCGGTGCGGTGCAGCGGATTTTTAAGGCGGGTTTAAAGTTCAACCTAGTTGTCACACTCGGAGAGCAGCAGCGCGGCCGGGCTCTGCACCCCCTGCCCGCACCGGGGCGAGGAGCAGGGGAGATTTCTAACCYCCCTTGGCTGCAGATTAGGGAGCTGCGCGGCTTTCTGCGCTCAGATAAAGCGATTAATGTGGAGTGGCAGCGCCTGACGGCGGGGGGGAGCCCTGGGGGAAAGGGATGCCAAATACACGAGCTCGCTCCTCTCCTGCACGCGCAGCTAAAATGTCTCCAAAACTTTGCTCGTTGGCTCCTGCTTAAAAWTAAAATAAAATAAAATAAAATAAAATAAAATAAAATAAAATAAAATAAAATAAAATAAAATAAAATAAAATAAAATAAAGGCCAGAATAAATGAACTGTACAGAGAAGGAAAGTGCAGGAGTAAGGGGGAAGGACACACTTGCCCAAATCCGCCTTTTTTATTTTTTTTAATACATTCACTATGATTTTGAAGTCCTGCCGGCCCCGAGTGTTTCTCTCGCGAGCGCAGCCCCCGCGGTCGCGMGTGGGGGACGCTCCCCGCCGGGACAGGCGGCAGCGGAGCCCGGGGGCGCCGGGCAGGAGCTCCGCGGAGCCCCGCGCAGAGCCGGGCGCCCGCGGAGCAGCTCGGCGGCCGCCGGCGCTGGGCAGCGGGTGCACGGGGGGCTTCAGGTGCCCGAGTTTCTGGACGCGAGGCGTTATCAGAGAAGCAGGTCCCGCCAAGAAATGCCATTTCAATGATTTTAATAAGCAAAATAGGAAACAATTTTAATAACCAAAAACAGAAACCAGTCTGAATAAAACTACAATAGACCAGGTTTTTTAATATTTTTTCATATCATAAGCAGGATTTGAAATTGATCCCTTCAGAACTTTACATGAAATAAAAACATTTTTTCCGCTGCTGCAATGTTTTGATTTCAACACAGTTGAATCAGTAAAAACCAAAGATCGTTTTCTGATGCATGACTAATATCCACAATATTTAAAACTGCAAGCACCATGCTGTTCATTACAATCTTGTTATTACTGTTAATTTATAAACTAATACAAACTTAAAATGCATCCGGCCAGCAGTGCCAGCTATCCTAAAAGGAAACTAAAAAATAAGTTTTCATTTTGGTATTTTTGTCAGTGCAACGTAAAATAATCCTTTTACTGACCTGCAGGAGGAAAAAAAAAAAAAAGTAATAAAAACACCCATAAGACTCCAAACTACTACTACTATACAACTGCAAATAAATTTTGGCTAAAACTTTCACTCGCTGCATAGGGAAGCAGAGAAGCAGGTTACAAATCATTGCAAAAGAATACACTTAAAAGTTTCATTATGTCTTTAAGAAAAAAAAAAAGTTTCATTTTAAATGCTTTTCCAGCTCACGCACTCACTGCTACCATTGATAAAYCTAACTTAGGTGGCAACACGAATCTTTGCTGTGATTTCAGCTTGACTTGTATCAAATCTTTTTTTTTTTTTTTATTCCTGTATTTTACTGAAAATAAAAATCAAGGGGCAGCTGTTGTTTCTTAAAAGGAACCAGTATCCCGCCCGTTCCTCGCTTCCTGAGTGTACAGTCAGAAGGGACAGACTATCTGGCCAAGTCTAACCACTACAGGCTGGGAGTTGTCCTGAAGCAGAGGGAGTTTCACTGTCACTTTAAAGCGGAGCAGGCTCTAGTGACCGATGCGAACTCGCTTTCCCTGTTAAGTTTAGGTCTGTCAATGACATCCAGGCGGTTTTTTTTTTTCTTCTGCCCCAACAAACAAAAAACCAAAATGAAAACTAAAAAGAAAAAAAAATCTTAAAAAAAACTTAAAAGTGCACCAGATATACAAAGTTTTTTTCTCTTTTCTGAATGCAAAATGCCCATAAGTTTAAGTGTCTCTTTAATACCAAACAAACCGTACAACCAGCCTGCTGAAATGTTTCGTTTTTTGCTTTTTTTTTTTTTTGTGTTTTTTTTTCTGTGCGGTTTGAAGTCGCAGATATTTACAAGCTAACAACCATAAAAGAAAATAAGAGAGCAAAACCAACGAACAAAACTGCACAAGCAGTAAAAAGTTTTGATAACTCGTGATGCTTTTCTTATCGAGGAAACAAAACAGAGAGCTATGATCGATGATCAACATGCTAAAGTTAAACAAGAAAATGGTACAAAATAGAAATTATTACCATACATGTCCAGCATGCAGGATTAATATTTTTAATGCAGATTTTCGTATTTTTCTATATAATCAAGCAGGCAATAAAACTGATGAGTTTTTTTTTTCTTTCTTTCTTTCCTTTCTTGGATTGCATGTCCCATCTGAGTCCTGTAACTTACTTCTCAAAGCAGGCAATATATGAAGAGTTTGCATATATTGTCCTTTTTATTTATTCTCCTTTTCCCAAGCAGGTAAATTGTGCATGAGATGCTGCTGTAAAGTCCTCTCATTCCAAGTAGGCAGTATGTTATAGATGGCTTGTTCATCGTCCTTTTTTTATTATTATTATTATTATTCTCTTAAAGTCCATCTCGTTCAGGAAGCAAGCGATCTATAAAAGGCTTAGCTTGTCCTTTTCTCCTTTGCCTCTGCCTCTATCCCTCTCTCTCACTCACAAATGAAAGTCAAAAAAGTTGCACGTTCCCTCTCCCGCCCCCACCCCCAGCCTACTTTTCCCACAGCTAATCTAGGAGACTGGATGCTGCAAAAGTCAAGTCTCTATTTTCTTTCTCTCCTTCTTTCTCGCTACTCAAGCAGACAGATGGATGGAGATGTCAGAGGAGGATGGGAGCGGAACGGGGAGGGGAGAAGGTGATGGGGGTTGGGGTCAGGTTTTTTTGTTTGTTTTGCTTTTTTTTTTTTTATTATATTTGTTAAGCACTCACATGAAGAACTCAGGGGAAGACGGGTTGTCACTGGTGGAGCCGGCCTCTCTGAAGCCATTGCTGGCAAGTTTCTCACACTTGAGCTTGTAGGCATCTCTCTCTCTGGCGAGCCGGGTCACTTCTTGCTTGAGCTGCTCCACCTGCTGAATTAGTTGGGTCTTTTCATTCTCCAGGTGGTGTTTCTGCTGGACRCGTTTATACCTGCAGGACTGGGCATAGCCCCTGTTCTTCAAGGTCCTCCTCTTCTGCTTGAGGCGGATCACCTCGTCTTTGGTGAAGCCTCGGAGGTGCCTGTTGAGCTCCCTCACAGACATGGAGACCAGCTGGTCATCTGAGAACCGGTCCTCCACGCTGCTGGAGGGGGGATGCTGCTGGTGCGAGTTCTGGAGCTGCTGGGAGGAGCTGGAGGAGGTGGACGGGGTGGGAGAGGCCTGGTGGTGATGGTGGTGGTGGTGATGAGGGTGCCCGCTGCCGGACAGGTCTTCGTGGGTGACTGCAGGGTACTGGTGGTGGTGTTGGTGATGGTGGTGGTGGTGGTGATGGTGGGCCCGGAAGCTCTCAAAGCCTTGCAGCTGCTGGGACACCTGGTGGGACCCAATGAGGGCTTCAACAGCGTCTTCTGGTGTGAGGTTCAGCGCCTCGGGGTTCATCTGCTGATAGCTGTTGGCCATCCAGTACAGGTCCTCCAAGTGGGTCTTCTGCTCAGTGGGGCTGAAGCTGGGCGAGGAGGGCACGGAGCTGCAGGGGGTGCTGATGGGGGTGGAGGAGACGGAGCCGGCAGGCTGCAGGCGGGTGCAGTGCCTCCCGGAGCGGTCATTCCTGCCCAGGGGCTCCTTCTTCACGTCGAACTTCATCAGGTCGAAGTCGTTGACGTACTCCATGGCCAGGGGACTGGTGGGCAGCTCGGCTCCGATACTGAGCTCTCCGGCCATCGCGGGCTTGCGGGCACCTCCGCCGGCGCAGGGGCTGGAGACCTCACTCCAGCGCGCAGCCCGGGCGAGGACTGGCTGCGCTCCCTTATTCCAAAGAAACTTTGGCTTCGCTTCCTCGCTTCCTTTCCTCTGCTCCCCCCTCCACCGCCTCCGCCTCCTCCTCGGCCGCTTCCTTCTGCCGGCTTCTCGGGCTTGTGCAGTCCGGAGCGACAAAGCCAAGGACGAGCCGGCAGCCGGGGCAGCCTCGGTGCCTCCTGTCTGTTCGTATCAGCGTTTGCAGCGCGGGCTGCAGCAGCTCCTAGCACTTAGGCACCCAATTGCAAGGAGAAAGGAGCGGTAGCAGGAGGGAAAAAGCAAAACAAAACAAAGATGCTGCCTTCGGGTCTGCGCAGGAAGAAGAACGGTGCAAAACGTTCAGCCCGTGCCCCTGGCTGCGTTTGTAAGTCCTGAGCCTCCTCCGCGCTGGAGCAGAGCACCGGAGCGAGCCGCAACTTTCCAGTCCGAGCAGGCGGCCGGGGCAGCGCACTGGCTATTTGGCGGCGGTGGCTGCGCTTTGCACGGGAGTTTTGTCGCTGGCTCTCGCCGCGTAGGGGAAGGGGAGGGAAGAGGGGGAAGGAAGGAGGGGAAGGAGGAGGGAAGGAAAAAAAAAAAAAAAAAAAAAAAAAAAAGGGGAGAGGGGGGACGAGAAAACCCAGG